GCAGCACCTCCGGCTGCTCGCGGGACGTGGAGACAGAGAGCCCTGGGCTCGTCTGCTTCCTGCTGTCCCTAAGACAGCGCTCTCGTCTTCACCGGCTTCCTTTACGAGCCGCCCCAGCACAGACCAAGCCGGGGCCGGTGGCAGCTGCCCGGAGTGCTCAGGACTTCTGAGCAGCTCCGTGTCCCCCTCCCCGTGTTCTCAAGCCGGGACGCTCATTACATTCATCTGGGGAGGTTTGAAAAATGCCAGCACCCAGGGCTGCACCCCAGACCAGTGAAGTCAGACTCCCTGGAGCTCTTCGCTGTGTGTGGCATTTTTAAAAGGCCACCGCTGATTCTCTGGGCAGCCACCTCTGCTGGGACCGCCGGCCTCCTCCCGGCAGGGCGGCCCGGGTGCGGAGCCCCGGGTGCCACTGTCCCGGCGTAGCTCGGTCCTTGGCCGTGCTCACAGCTGCCACCGTGGCCACCAACAAAACAGACCCCGGGGAGCAGACACAGGCCCCGTGCTTCGCAGGAAAGGTAGTTCACTTTCACTCACGCGTGCCTGAACGCACCGCCGCGGCATGAGCGGAGACAGACTAGCTCCCAGGTCCCCGCGGGGCCGACGCGGTAAGTAGCCGAACCGCAGGCGGGAAGGCTGCGTGCCTTCGCTGTTCCTTGCTTATCTAACCACGTTTCTGCTTTAACTTCCAGGAGGCAGGGGCTCGGTCGGCACGTGTCACCGACAGGGTCGTGGGTTACGGTGGGGGTAGGAGTCTCGCCTGGGGGTCTCCGGCAGAGGCCAGGAGACAGGTTTCTGATGCTCTGAAAACGGTATTTATTAAAATCACGTCATACCAGCAACTCCCACGTAAACTGAATGTCTGGGGACGTGCTAGCCCTTCTGCCCACTGGCACGAGTCGCTGCGCGTCCTTCTGCGTCGTTTCAGCTGTCTTACCTTAACGCCAGTTAATCCGCGCAGTGAGGACGCGTCACGTCGCTTGATGCGCCTCGTATTGATCATCCTTGCGCACGTCATCCTTAGAATATCGGACAGAGACAAAGGTGGGAAAGAGGGGGCGGTTTAGGGTGTAACAGAAATTAATAATTTGGGGGTGTTGCAATAATAATTTGTCATAACTTCATTCGTCTGATTGCAAATGAAGGCCCGGGAGAGCCTGGATGCAGACTTAAGAACTCTGCTGACGGGTCCCGTCACTGGCGTTGGGTAGCGCCGGACGAGCAATCTACCGGAAGTTCACGTCCACACGCCTCCTGGCTCCCTTCACCGGCGGGCCTGGTGGGACCCCGGGTGACGTCGCGCGGGGCAGGGCACGTTTTACTGGCCGCAGCCTCTTCCCCTGAGGAGCTGTGGGACGCGGGCGAACGCCTCCTGTGTGCAAGTCTCAAGAGCAGAGGTGATCTGGTGTCCACCCTGCCGGCCCCACGGGGCTGTGTGCAGACGGTGGGCCGGTCCAAAGGGGCGTCCGTTAGGGGCATCCCCTCACCTGCCCAGAAGAAGTACCAGCTGACCCACAGATAAACAGGGACACGCGACAGAAGCCTCGGCGTCGGGGCATCCAGAGACCACGGAGAAGCAAAGCAGCCTTTGCCGAGAGGAAGACGACAAGTCTGTTTCTCTCCTGCTGGATCCACCTGACGGATTTTAAAACCTCAAGGGAAGTGCCCGCTAAGGATGAGGTTGGCTGGGCCAGTTTCCTGGGGGACGTGAACCGACAGGAGCCACCCCCGGGTGTGGGCACCAGGAGCAGTCACCCCAGAATGACCTGCACTGGCTCTCACCCCCCAGAGGGCTCCCCAGGTCTTGCCCCCGTGCACGAGGAACTGGGTCGCTGCTCCTGAAGAAGGACAGTACAGTTGGCCTCCTGGGGGGGGCCAGGGTGCATAACGTCTAGGAGCGAGGGGCTGGGCCCGGACATGCAGGACAGGATAGAGAAGTGGCTGGGTCTCACGCCTGGCATTCCAGCAGCTGGGATCAGAAACACTCAACAGATGCCGACTTAACAACCACGTTCCTCCAGACACTCCCCAGCTGCTGTCTGTCTGTCTCTCTGTCCACATGTCTGTCTGTCCCTCCCCACCTCCCTCCTTCCCTCCGTCAGCCCAGCCATCTGCCCGCTCATCCCTCTGCATCGTCGGTCTCTGCTCCCCTCCTCGCAACAGGCCGCAAGGAGGGACTGCGGCAAATAGGGGACAGTGAAGCGGGCACCCACCCCCGTGAGCCACGGCGCCCGTGCTGCCCGGAGGACGCTGCCCGAGCTTCACAGGAGAGGCACGAAGCTCGGGAGGAGTCACTGGAAGGCGGGAACCCCACAGGCTGGTGGGAACTGCCGGTGGGCTGGTGAGGCTGGACCTGGAGACGTGAGGAAATAGCTCTGTGTCCCCTGCCGTGGGGAAGGGACGCAGAGACCCGTGAGCACTGCCGGCCCCTCCCCTGCCTGCCCCGGTGCCGGTTGTTTTGGGTGAGCCCTTACAGTTTTAAGTAGTCGGGAAAAAAGAAGATTATGTGACCTGTAAATGCGACGTGGAATTCTAACGTCAGCGTTCGTATGTGGTCTCACCGGCACACACCCGCTCCAGGTCCTGGCAGAGGCCTCCCCACCAGGCCTGGACCACAGCCAGGACCTGGGCCCGAGACTTTCCCACCCAGGCTGCGACATCCCCGCTGTGTCTCCGGGCAAGTTGTCACCATCCTCCAGGTTTGTTGAAAACCCGTACGTTCCAGCCCGAAGTGGCGCCTCTCAGGAGCCTCCCTTTGGGTTATTGCCAAATTGTAAATCATCCTGAGCTTAAAACTTCTTGACCATCTTTGAACTCCCTCTTTGCTTCACAAACACCTCACTCTGACGTGCCCACCGCCCCGTCTTCTGCGCCCGCCCTGGCCAGGCCTCACCCCCAGGTGCCTCTCACGGACCTGCCCCCGCAGCCGCCCGCTGGCCCTCCGCACCCAGCACTGAGCCTCCGGACCAGGGCCTCCCTCCCTGCACGTGCCCTCGACCTGCCACTGGGCTCTCCCACTCTCTGCTCTGCCTCTGGAAGCTTCTCCGCCGCCAGCTCTGTCTGGCAGATGCCCACCTGCTCTCAGGCCTCTGGCTAACTTCCTAGGGCTGTTTGTGCGAAACAGGGTGCCCAGGCCCCGCCCCGCAGCTCTGGGCCCACCTCGGCCCTTCCACACTCGCCTTCCCCTGGACCGCCTCCCCTGGGGTCAGAGGCCTTGGCTTCAGACTCAGGCCCACAGGCCGGTGCCCAGGCAGACAGGGCCGGGCCGAGAATCGTCCGCAAGCGAGTGGGTGGGAGCCGACCGAGAGGCCCGACCTGCGCTGGACACGTCAGGCCTTGCGAGCAAACTGTTCAAGTGTCACCTAACAGGCCTCCTCACAAGGAAGCTCCATCCCTTCCACTCAGGACTCCGCGTCCAGATTCCAGGTTACCTGGGGAGAGCACCACTGTGAACCCACGCCAAGCCCGGGAGCCAGGGCTACGGATGACGGACCAGGCCCGAGGCGCGGGTCCCACCCGGGGGGGGCGAACCCTCGTGAAGCAGCCCTCTGGGCTGATTTCCTTGTTGTCTGGCGGGCGTGGAAGTCAGATGGGGAGGACACACTTACCTGCCCCCTGCAGGAGAGAGTCAGCACCTGAGGGGGGAGAGAGACACGCTTAGTAAGACTCCTGCAGGCGGGGAAGGTGGTGGTTCAGGTTCCAAATTTCTCACATTTCATCACTTTGAATCCCATGTAGCGTTCGTTTTCCCACACGAGAGGGTGGAGAACTTGAAGAAGTATTTCTCAATGTGGTGTACGATCCGGTGGACATCTGACACTATAAATCAAACAGTCGCTCTAGGGTAAAAGCAGTTTTATCTTGAAATTTCAGGGATGTGCTGGCTCCTGGAGGAACATTAGCAGATTTTGTCTGAGGAGTCATTGGAAAATGATTTGATTGAAAATAGCTCTGTTTGCCAAGAGAAAAGGTGCATTTTGACTTTGATAAAGGGGGGCTCTCCTGGTGCTGGGGAGGCGGGTGGGGGGCATCCACCTTTCAGCTGTGTAGACCTTTATTTCCACGTGGAACAAAACAAGGCGTGATTGACTGCTTTCAGTGAAAGGATGTGTGTGAAACGGATGTGGTCCTGGCTTTCCTCCTGGGTCGCTCGAGCTGACGGGCCCATCAGTAAACTGTTCGCAGTTCTGTCACCTGATGAAGTCTGCACAAGTCCCATCAACTCGGCAAAATCCAGAGGAAGCAGAGTCTTTGGGTCAGAACATCTGGAAAAGCAGAGCCCTTTACCAATTTGCTGCAACCGGTTACTTAGACATACACGTCCTATTTCCTTTCTCTTAGAAATTGAAATGCCCTCATTTCAAAACTAAACTTACTTTTCTTACTTATTTGGACCACATTTCTCTTCCTGAACCAGTGGCTAGTCCTCACCAGGGAAAAAGATCCCTCATAAGTATTGTTTCATTTTCCCCAGTTTTTACATTCCTATCTTTACAACAAAATTGTAAACGATGTAAAGCCACAGACTTTGGCCCACCTGGGGAGTCTCGTGAGCTGTATGTAGGTGGCATCGCCGCCTTAGTTGGTTTACAAAACCCACTGGGCAGGTCCTGTTGGAGAGCTCTCCCTGCCCTGTGGCCGTCTCTGCTCAGACCCCGGACCACTGCTACCCACTGCTCCATCTGCCGCTTTGACAGTGTGCATTCACAGAGGAGCTTAGAGGAGGGGAGGCCAGACACTGGACAGGTGTGGGGACGGGTCCTCAGGGCCCAGCTAACTCCGATTAGCAGAATGAAAGTAACTCCCTTGTAAGTTAACCCTCGTGCTCAGCGGGTTT